TCTACCTAATACATCGGTCATTAACATCGTTAAATCAGTTGGTCACTTAACAATATTACTGAGGTGGGATTAAGAGAGTCTTTCCCCCTCGTCATAGTTGTTTATCATTGTTAAAGTAGTGTCCAGCTGAACGTTAACACCTTTCACACTGGTGCTAGTGGTGGGATAGTTTGTCCCCCCTGCCCGGTGTGTTGCTTATCTTCGTTATATAAGGCCTCCCCCCAAAGTAAGACCTTGCAAAGTTTTTGTTTGGAAGCTTGTCCACCAAACAGAACAACAGAGCATGCACCTGTCATTCTTTTTAGCCAGCCGCCGTTGTCCCCTACCTTCACTATCCATTGCAGAGCATTTGCAATATTGTCCTTGATGTACAAGTGCTCCAGGAACTGCTGCGGGAAATTGTTACAGTCTCCAGACAGTATGTGAGAGCCAGGTACTTTGCAGCCCTTAGTTTTTGTGGCCTTGTGTGTGAGTCAGATGTTCCAGAAGATGATATGAGTGTCATTGAATAAATCTTGCATTGTGTTCATAAATATCAGGATCGGTAAATGTAGCATAGATTGTTGTACATGGAAATAATGGTAGCAACATGGAATTCTTGAAAGGATTCAGAGTTTGTCTGGTTATGCTGGTTTGCGATGACAACTACTGTACAGTATATAATAAATGTTCAAATTTTTTTCTTCAATAATAAATGTGAATTCTTCTTCATGGAAAAATAAAAGATCCTCTGAAAATAAGACCTAGTGCATCTTTGGGAGCAAAAATTAATATAAACACTGTCTTATTTTCGGGGGAACAGGGTACCTATTGAGATATCTTGGAGATGGAATCCAAGTCTTAAAAACATTTATGTTTCATACACACCTTCTACACGTTTGTTTCTTCTGTTTTAAGCTTTGATTTGTGGACTCCAATTATTTTTTCCATGAGACCCTCCATAACACTGTTGGAAAGCTTGGTTTGTGCTACAGAATAATAGAAATTGTAGTTCAACCGTAGCTTTAATATTCTGAATTCAGATTTCCTTTTGCCGTCACGATAAAGGGCTTGAAGTAGGTTAAAAGGCTTGCAGGTCCCTGTTACAGACTTTAAGGCCTTGCCCTTTGCAAAATTCCTTAATCTGGACTGATATTATAATAAACTGGTTCTGATCTGAAAGTAGAGATTGCAAGGGAGATTTGAGGGCCCTTCTACACAGCCATATAACCAAGAATATCAAGGCAGATAATCCACAATATCTGTTTTGAACTGGATTATCCAGTTTTATGTGGATTTTATACAGCTATGTGGAAGGGGCTTGGGACTCCCTTTTTGTGGGGCATTGTCAGACCCTCAAAAAATATCCATAGGAAGGTACTACAAGCAAAAATGATTCCAATATTGTAGCAAATTTATCTTTAGATGAAAGTTGGCCTTAACTGCGAAATTGTACAACATTCTGCTTTTCCAGTGCTCCTTATTTAAAGCATCCACACAACATTGCTTTGCTACAACCTTACAGTGATCTTGCAATTTAGAACAGTATTGTCCCCTTTTTGCAGTTGGAGGTTAAATCTGGTAGAAGAAGCCGACTGTGGGCCACATAAACTGGATCTACACTGCCATACAGTCCAGTTTCAGAATGCAGGTTAGCTGCTTTGAACTGTGGGCCACATAAACTGGGTCTACACTGCCATAGAATCCAGATTCAGAATGCAGGTTAGCTGCTTTGAGCTGGATTACATGAGTCTACATCGCCATATAATCCAGTTCAATGCAATTAATCTGTGTTCAGAAACTGGATTATATGGCAGTGTAGATGGGCATGTACATGCATTAGCTGAACTTCAAAATCATCCATACTGTGAGTCTGCATGGGGCAGCTGCCTCAGGCAGCAAATTTTAAGATGTCACTAAATAACTTTCTTGGCTTTGGATATTATGCAGCAAGGAATATGCATTTGTCATGTCATATCCAAGTAACAGTGCTTGCCTAAGAAGGATTGAAAACTGAGTCTTCCTAATGAGTAGCCTTTTTAAAGCTTCTAGTTACAGATCCAAGTGATGGTGCCAGTTTTCCTACTCCAGCTTCTCATCTGGGAGAGGAGTTCCAGCAGGCAGCAAAAAGATGCTGTTTAAACTCAAGGTGGCTGATGCTCCTCCTTAAGCTGATTTTCGGTGCTAACTTTCTAGAAATCAAGTTAACGTTAATTACAATGCAAATGTCTTTAAACACAGCAGGGCACAAAGGATTCCAAATGTATGTTCCTGTTTTAAAACACAACTACATGAAGAAAAAACCACAGTAATTCATCTTCTACCAAAGCACAGTTATTTTAGCAGACAGAATTCAGCAACTGCAAACAGTACAATGGTTAAAACACTTCTTCTACTGGGTTGCTGTGAGTTTTCAGGGCTGTATGGCCATGTTCCAGAAGCAGAGGAGGCCTGCTTCTCTGCTTCTGGAACAGAATGTCAGGAGAGAATGGGCAGAATGTCAGGAGAGAATGCTCAATTAAAAAAAAATCCAAAAGCAAATCTTAATTTTGCAATTTTATATAAGAGATACCATTTTACTATAGCATTGTACATAGTGGGATCTGATTATTCACAGATTTTGGTATCCATGAGGGATTTTGCGAACAAATTGAATGAGGGTAAACATTGAATCCATACAAGACAGAGATACTCCTGGTCAGTCAAAAGCCCGAACAGGATATAGGGCTACAATTTGTTATGGATGACATTCCCCTTAAGACACAGCGGCTTTGGGGTGATCCTGGATTCATCGTTGATCGTGGAACCCCAGATCTCAGTGGTGGCCAGGGGAGCTTTTGCACAATTAAAACTTGTGCGCCAGTTGTGCCCGTACCTTGGGAAGTCAGACTTCAGGAGGTGGTCTATCCTCTTGTTACATCTCAGATAGACTACTGCAACACCCTCTACGTAGGGTTGCCTTTGAAGACTATTTGGAAGTTTCAAGTGGTTCAACAGGCAATAGCCAGATTCCTCACTGGGGCAGTGTACAGGGAGCATGCAAACCTCCTGTTATGTCAGCTCCGTTGGCTGCCAGTCTGCTACCGAGCACAATTCAAAGTGCTGGTTTTAGCTTATAAAGCCCTAAAAATGGTTCCAGCCCAGCTAACATGTCCCTCTATGAACCATCTCGGAGGTTAAGATCATCTGAGGAGGCCCTGCTTTCGATCCCACCTCCCTCGCAGGCACGAGTGATGGGGACGAGAGATAGGGCCTTCTCAGTGGTAGCCCTTTGCTTAGGGAACTCCTTCCCCGGTGAAATTAGAGCAGTCCCCTCCCTCCTGACCTTCAGGAAGAAAGTAAAAACGTGGTTATGGGACCAAGCTTTTGGCTAGAAAATTTGTGCAATTTGAGACTATGGAATAATGAAATAACTAATGGAATGGCCTTGGATTTTATTTTGGATGACATGATTTTAATAACTGGTTTTAATAGTGATGTTTTAATTTCCTGGTTTTAATGTATATGTGTTTATTTTACTGTATGTATGTTATGGCATCGAATTACTGCCTTTTTGTAAGGACGCTTGGAGTCCACTTTGAGGTGAGAAGGGCGGGATATAAATGTAGCAAATAAATAAATATATTTTGATGTATTGTCAAAGGCTTTCATGGCTGGAATCACTGGGTCGTTGTAGGTTTTTTCGGGCTATATGGCCATGTTCTAGAAGCATTTTCTCCTGACGGTTCGCCTGCATCTATGGCAAGCATCCTCAGAAGTAGAGAGGTCTGTTGGAACTAGGAAAAAGGGGGTTTATATATCTGTGGAATGACCAGGGTGGGACAAAGGACTAGCTCCAACAGACAAGAATCCTTTGTCCCACCCTGGTCATTCCACAGATATATAAACCCATTTCCCTAGTTCCAACAGACCTCACTACCTCTGAAGATGCTTGCCATAGATGCCTTGTTTCCTTTAGTGATATGCAAATGTTGGCTCCATATGCATATATGTTCTAAAGAAAGAGGTAGAAAAAACATAAAACTTAAGCAAAAGGTCAGTTCAGTCCGGCATATTAAGCTGGTTAATAGTAGGGCACTAAGTGTGAGGATTTCTCAACTACAGAAACAATGTCTTTGATTCTCGAAAGTAGGTAAACTCTGTACAGTGTTTGTTATATGTTAATAGATACATATAAAAGTAAAATTTGAGACAATCGGAATTTGGGATATGTGTACCTGGCGACTTTAGGCTCTTTTTAGAAATGTATTATGTATTTGTAACTGTGTATTTTAAGGTGAGGCTATAAATCTTCCTAAATTTGTATGAGGAATGACAGGGTATAAATCAAATAAGTAAGTAGTGTAGTGTAGAACTTGGCAACTGCACCAAGACCACTTGAAGAACAAGAGTGTTTCCCTGACCAGAACCCATATTTAATAGCGTTGTCTCTGTCTGGATGGCTGCCCCTGTGGGCTCTAGATAAACATGGGGTTATTTCCTCATCAAATGCTTCACTGCATACGCTTGGTTCATAGCCTTGGGCTGTCGGCAACCACCACTTCTTTTCCTTGCCCGGTTGACTTGGTGAAGTGGAGCGGAGAATTGTCCCTTCTTCACGCATGATGGATCAGGAAGGCAAGTCTGCTGCCCCCACCCATTTTGCAATGATCTACAAAGATGGAAAGTGTGCAAGGAGCTCACACCATTGTTTCACACTTCTTTTTTATGCTTTAATGGTATCCATCTTTTAAAATGGACATAAGTCGGTGAGGTCATCGTTTTAAAATTAAAGGCATAGGAATGGAAGATATTGGGCACTTCTCCACATTGTATTTTCTGTATGTGAATGTGTGTATTTTCTTGAGATGACTCCTTTCCCTCCCCCCCCCATAATATGGAATCCCAAAGAATTTCTTCTACTGTTTTTGTGTACTCCCACCAAACTGTAAGTTTATATACTTGGAAGGTACTATACACTTAGATATCCACTTGTGACTTTATAAGCAGAAGCAAATATTTCCATTTCTCTCTGTTTTTAGGTTCCAGAAGAGCTGCTCTGGATTGGTCATCTGCCCTCCTGTTGTCTATAGGGACACTGTCATCTGACAGAGCTATGTGAGTAACCTCTCCCTCTCTCCCATTTATTTATTTATTTATTTATTTATTTGGAGTGCTTCTACCCCGCCCTTCTCAACCCCCTAGGGGGGACTCAGGGTGGCTTACAAAAAAGGCACAATTTGATGCCCAACAATTCACAAAGTACAATATACAATTTATAATTTAATCCCAGCTACTTTTCCCAAATGCTCAAAAATTGGGAATGTTTCCTTTTTAGATGGCAATGATAGCCTTATAAAAGCTGTTGTAAAGTTCTTGAACTCTGTTGCCAGTCTTTTGGAACTGTTCATGCATTTGAATGTGTGTGTGCTGTGTGTGACATTTTATAGGTTGTGTAAACAACATGGTTGCATCCTAACAATGCAGTATGAGGGACTCAGAAGTAATGTTCACAGAACAAGAACCTGTTGAACACATTGCAGCAGATGAGGAAATCAGATAGTTTCCGAGCTTCAGAAATCACCAAGTTCTGACTCAAAAAGGGTGTTATGTGTCCTTCACTCATAGCCTCCAATACAGTGTTTCTCAACCTTCCTAATGCCATGACCCCTTAATACAGTTCCTCATTTTGTGGTGACCCCCAACCAAAAAAATATTTTTGTTGCTACTTCATAACTGTAATTTTGCTACTGTTATTAATTGTAATGTAAATTTCTGATTATGCAGGATGTATTTTCAATCACTGGTCGAAATTTGGCACAAATACCCAACATGTCCAAATTTGAATATTGTTTGGGTTGGGGAAGAGTTGTAGTTGCTGGGATTTATAGTTAACTTACAATCAAAGAGTATTCTGAACTTCACCAATGAGGGAATTGAACCAAACTTGGCACACAGAAGTCCCATAACCAACAGAAATTACTGCAAGGGTTTGGTGGGCATTGACCTTGAGTTTGGGAGTTGGAGTTCACCTACATCCAGAGAGCACTGTGGACTCAAACAATGATGGATCTGGACCAAACTTGGCACAAATAGTCAATGTGCCCAAATGTGAACACTGGTGGAATTTGGGGAAAATAGACCTTGACATATGGGAGTTGTAGTTGCTGGGATTTATTGTTCACCTACAATCAAAGAGCATTCTGAACTCCATCAATGATAGAATTGGGCCAAACTTCCCACACAGAACGCCATGACCAACAGAAAATACTGTGATTTCTGATGGTCTTTGGTTATCCCTCTGACACCACCTCATGACCCCCCCCCCCAGGGGTCCTGACTTCCAGGCAGAGAAACGCTGCTCCAATAAGTCACTGGTGTAATGATAACACAGTTCTCGTTGATTGAATAGTAGTTTCATTTTATCAAGACTAGGTGCCCTCCTCTCCTGAATTGATTTTCTGAAATGGAGAACCCAAATTCTTCAGAGTAAGGAGCTATCCTAACAGTATCCATCAGTATAATCACTCCCTACTCAATATAACAAAATATATCAGTTCCTTGTTGTTCATAGAACCTGGAAGACTGGAAATTGGTAGCCCAAGAGCCTTTTCTGACTTTTCATGCTCTGCTTGTTGAATTGATTTTGTGTAATGTGCCCTCTGTCTTCATAAGAACAGGCAGGAGAATCATGCAATTCTCCAGATGTCATTGGACTGCATGCCTCTAGCAAACATGGTGAGGAGTTCTGGGAGTTGCAGTCCAACATCATCTGGAGGACTGCATGATTCTTGCCCTTGCCAAAGGAGGAACCAATACCAGATCGGGACCTGATGATACATCTTTGGGTGATTTCCAAAGTCTGCTAGGATTTCCTGATAAAACATTTTACTCCACTGTGACCACCAATACCCATACCTGCAAATCTAAATTGGGTTGCTGAAATTATAGATGAAAGGGCAGCCAAAAGTCTAATTTTGTATGAATCTTACTGTATTCCAAATTCAGTTTTGATGTTGGAAATAAATTCTTAGTCAGAGCTATGTGTTCAGAGGCATACCCTATTCCTTAATATTCCACACATATGCCTCCATAAGCTACTATTTTGCACCAAGTGTCCCCAGGGCAAAGTCCTTGCAGACAGCCAATTCTCTCACACCAGAAGTGACTTGCAATTTCTCAAGATGCTCCTGACACATACAAGAACACCCCCCCAAAAAACCCCTGAGCATTTTGTAGGTCGTGAGGTGCTGCCCCCCCCCCCCTTGCTTTTTTAAAAGGCCAGTCCTGGGATCATGAAATCTGTTCACCCTTGTGCCAGGTGGAAATTTTAGTATCCCTACAATTGTAAGCATTCTCAGGGCACAAAGCACAGATATTGAATACAGCAAGAGTCTCAAAATAACTCTGTCTCTTCACAGTTCTTTTCCTTCAAGCCTCTGCCAGTTTGGACTTGTCTTCATTGCTAATCTAGTTGCAGGAAGGTCTCCCTTATTATGCCATGTTTAATCAGTCAGAAACCATCCTTGGAGAATGCTGGCTGCTTCCAATTACACTCCACTTTACCTTGGCATAAAGACAGGGCAGGGGGAAGGAAAGCGGGGGGGAACAACCTCAATCCTGTCAAGTATTCATGTTTGATCCATATCCCTGGCAAACCAGGTGTGAAATCAGCTACAAGTACATTAAACAAATTAATGATAGATTTTGAATGCTATTTCCCCTCCTCAAAGAGACTTTGGATTATATTTTTAAATAGTATAAAAACAAGAAGTAAGGAAGAAAGAACAGGAACATTTGGAATATTGTGGCCTTTATGGGATGTTTGAATTTGCCCTGAGGCTCTGTCCTTCCTCCACGAGGGCAAGAAAAGAGATTCAGCACCATCTTTTGCTTTCAAATTAATAGTCATCTTTCCTCTCTTTGCTATAGACAATAGGTCACAGTTTATGAAATGGAGACTGACTTAATAGATAACACGGATGAAAATAAGACTTCCTTTATATCCAAAATCGTGTCTGTACTGAATAGTTATATCACTTGATACCGCTTTGAGGAATTCTTGTATTTGCAGTTTACTTAGAAAGCTTCGGTTTAATCTCCTGAAGTAATATTTGCAAGATCCCCTGAGGATTAAATCAAGGGTACTTTGAGGATTTTGGTTCAGGAGCGTGAACTAGAGCTCTCAAGCAGAGAATTTGATGTGCCTCACTAAATTACAAAGTGCAAGATAGCTTCGGATGGAGTCATAACAGTGAAAATATTATCAAACTGATAATGAGCTATGCAGTGCAGAGATCTCTGTTCTTTGTAAAAGCTCTTAATTTGTAGAATTGCCTATTTAGACTAGTCCAGCTTTTTCTCCCCCATAGGAGGCTTATTTGGCTCTATGTCTAGTCTCTTTCTGCCTGCAAGCAAAGATCTTTGTATTAGGGCAGTCCTTTGTCTTTTAAGTTACTGTGGCGAGAAGATCTTTTTAATTGGGGTCATTATGCTTTTTACTATGTTTTAATGTGCTTGGAACTACTGTAATTTAGTGTTTTAATACAACTATTGAATTATTTTTCAAATATTTTTATCAAGTAGATTTTACTGTATTTTATTTTTAGTGTCATGTGAGCCACCTTGGGTGCTATACCAGGAAAAAGCAAGGATATAAATCAAACAAAGAAATAATGCAAATATCTATGAATTGCCTAGTTCTTGGTAGTGGATTGTGTTTGTAGGTCCTTGAATTTTCTGCTTATTAGCTTCTTTCCTCACTAGTGATTTTCCTTTTTTGTCACTTGGCTCTGCTTTTGCCTCAGCATCACTGCTCTCCTTGTTTTGTTTTGCAGTGAAATGTAAAGTCTGCGCCTCTACTGATATGGTGCCCCTCAGCGCTTCCTTTTCAGTAGACATGTTCTATTTTTTGCACCCAAAGCCCTGAAAAACTTTCACAAGGAAAAGGCCATGTTCGGCCATGTCAGAGCATTGCATGCTCAACTGTGGCTCAGCAATAACCCTTTGAGAAGGAAGCTGTGTACACGATGCTCAGTCAGCCATAAAGCCTGAACCTGCTATGGACGTCTATCCAAAGCAGCAGATATATCAGAGATACAGATTACGAGACCAGATGTGCCATATGTTCATACCCACTAAGTTTTGAAAATCTTAAAGAAAGAGATTTCAAGTCCTTCCTCTGACCTTGAAACTCCTATTTTATATCCAAATGCACGAAGACTAAAAATAAAGTATTTGTATTCTTCCAGCTCTTATGCCTAAATTGTAAATAAAAAGAATTTATATGGTGCTTGAAATTTCAATTCATCAAAACCCAGGAATAGTTTTTAAACTGGTCTGTTCTTAAGCCCTGCAACACTAGAGGTGTTCAGCTGCAAGGGAACTGGGTTCTTGCAAAATAAATAAGAGAAGCTGCTCAAAATTGTCCAACTTACTGAGGCCTGACTAGAAACACATCTCAAAGATCTCAAGAAGACCATTTCCTGTTATCTGCAGCCTGATCCTTTCAAACTGAATGTGCTAGAAACTGAACTTGAGACTTACTGCATTCGAAACACATGTTCTATCACCAAGTCTCTCTGCATTTCTTCAGCCTTTTCTGTTTTGTGCATAAATGCCAGGGATAGTTCTTGCTTTATGTACTTTGTAGTCTTAGTTCTTGCACTGCTAATCTTAAATGCCAACATCAAATAATGTTTCCATATGACAGTGGCAGGGAATGAGTCCTTCTTCGTGGCTTTTATTCTTCAATGGGTGAGTGTGTGGAGTAGAGTGAGAAAATGTAACAGCTAGCAACTTGTCACCCTCGGATGTCTTAGGCTGCAGCTCCCATCATTTCTTATCTTTAGCCATGAAGGTTGGAGCAGATGTCCCTTGTCATTGGGTACAGCCACGTCTGCATTGGGCCAAACAATGTGGGCTCAACCAGCTGCATTGGGAAGTCGTTATGATGCACAACCAGATCCAAAGTCCATCCATCCAACATTCCTATCGCTGCATCTCTAGCCATGGGCACCTTTCTGAAAGTGGCTTGCTGATGATGTTGCTTCTACTAAAGTTACAGTAGGCACTCAGACACATGACTAGGAAATGCCACATTGACAGCAGGCCTTTGCCAGAGAGCTACTTGTGGATAGCAGTGCAGTGTCCCAATGCACTCTTGGCTTGGCCAGCTGTCTAAATATTCAAAGCACTCTGCACACTCCCAGCCAGCATTAAGGAGCAGTTTAATTGGCTGTATCAAGACAGGTCTGGATTAATTGGTAAGTGCACACACGGCCTATGATGTCTATTAGCAACAGCTATCATGGCAAAAGACCAGAGCATATTAGGGTCTACTCCAATGAGTTGGTAGCTAAGATAAGGTAGAACTAAGGGCCCATAGATCTCAGGGCAATTTTTGTTGCCCTATTGAATCCAAATGTATTCTGCCACATCATGCTGAACAAGTAGATTTTAAGTATGCATAGGACTATATTCTCAGTCATTATGACACACCAGTTCCTTTTTGCTCCACAATTAGTCCCATGGTAGCGAGGTGTGTGTGTAGTCTAAAAAAAGAAACAGAGAGGGACTCAATGTAGTTTTTATATTTTTCTTAAGGGAAACATAGCTATTAATCTCAGGGCAGTTTCCAGGATTATAGCAGAAGGTCAGTGATGACCATGTAACACTAGTCAGTGAGCATGTTAGTTTCCTGCAGTATGAAAATACCTGCTGCCTGTTCTTGATGATGGCTTCATACAGGGAGGAGAAGTTATCTAATTCTGAATCTTGCTGTGACAATATCCTCCCTTTTATCTCAGTAGGGTGATTGACTTGTACTTTTGTCATTCCGCAAGAGAAATCCCAGTGGGTCTGGCTATTGTATAAGCAGTGGAGCATCAGAGCCTCACATTCTGTTGCTCTTCACCTGAACGCCTCTAAATAAAGCCATCTTCTTTATCTAGCTGGGTTCATTGTTTTCATAGATCTCTGGCTTATAGGCACTGACCTCAGAATTCCTTAGATAAGAAAAGTTCAACAACCAATACTAACACTACTGTGTTTGCCTCAGCTCTCTCCCTCTGCCCCAGTTTCCATTCTCAGGGTATAATTTAAAAGCTAACAGGAATGTAAAGAAAATATGTGACATTTTGAAAAGCCTTAGTGCTGTACAACTTCATAAGAGGATCAAGGTTGGAACTTGGATTGATATGTATTTATATGTAAGTCTGGCCTTAAAAAGTAGTTTGGAATATAAATCCAAAGAAAGAATTCATCTCAGCTTTATGGTCTTTTGTTGCTGTAAGTATTTATATATTTATATTTCAGTTTTGCCTTTTTTTTCCAGCGATCTCAAGGTAGTCCACATGCTTCTCTTCCCTCATTCTCCTATCTTCACAACAACTTTGTGTGATGATGTTTAGACTGAGAGATAATTACTCATTCAAGGCCACCTTGTGAGCTTCCTTGCTAAGCAGGGATGTGAATGAAGGTCTTTGTGAATACTAACTAAGTACTCCTAACCAATGCAACTTACCATATTGGACTCCTTTAAAAAAGGGTATTAATATATCATACTTTAATGGGGATAATTCTCTGTTTGAAGGGTTGGCAATTAGAGTGCTGTCCATACCACATCTAGTTTAAAGATAATGAAATAGACAACTTAATGTTAGTCTCTGGACCAAAGGTTGAGATTATATTCATAGGCTGCTGCTAAAAGGACATGCCTATTTTATGATGCAAGATAGTAATGGCTGTGCTTTTGACATTTTGTTGATAGCTGTCATAAAAACCTGTTCCTAGGTAAATAGAGTATGACAGACATTTTAGTATAAATAACAAATAAGTCTACACAGTACATAAAGAATTAAGTTGAAAATATGCCACACAAGTTCCACTTCCAGAAGACAAGGCATCTCATGATACAATGTATTGTCGGAGGCTGGAATCACTGGATTGTTGTAGGTTTTTGGGCATTATGGCCATGTTCTAGAAGCATTATCTCCTGACGTTTCACCTGCATCGATAGCAGGCATCCTCAGAGGTTGTGAGGACCTCACAACATCTGAGGATGCCTGCCATAGATGCAGGAGAAACATCAGGAGATCCTATGCCATAGTAACATTTACAATATCTTTAAGGTGCCATAGAATACTGTTGTTGTTTTTTGCTGCTACTAATATGTTTTTTTCCATAAGCGTGTGCATAGATTAATAATTATTTCAAATCATTTACAATTTCATTCCACTCTTCTTTCTATGGAGTAATATAGCTAATTTCTCAAAATACTGTGCAATAACCAAAAGGGGCATTAACCAAAACGAAACAATTTTCCAGATGCCGGAGATGGAAAAAAGGGGAAGGCCTTTTCCTTTGTGTTGTGTGTCATTGTTCACTGTGTGTAAAAGTCACTGAATGTTTGCCTCATATGTGTGTATTGGAATCTGCTCTGATTCCCTTTGGGGTGGTAAAGCGGACTATGAATAAAGTGTTTATCATAATCATCATCATCATCATTATGTCAGGGCTGATTGTTCCTAATCCTACTTCCTTTCATTTGTCCAACTTTATATTGATCAACCCTACACCAGGGTATTACATTTTGGGTGGTCCAAGAACTGTTGTTTAGCATTTGCTGTCATCCTCTCTTGCAGCTTGGGCCATGGGGAGCAGTAAGAGCAAACCCAAAGATCCCAGTCAACGGAGACGCAGCCTCGAATCCACGGAAAATATCCATGGCGGTTGCTCTGCCTCTCAAACACCCAACAAGACCACAGTCCCAGATGCTCATCGGACCCCCAGTCGTTTATTTGGAAGCACAACACCAGAACCAAAACTCTTTGGAGGATCAAATACATCTGATACAGTCACCTCTCCTCAGCGTTGTGGGGCTCTAGCTGGTCAGTAAGAAAACATTGGCTGGTCTTTTAATTTTGACTTTTGTCCTATGCCTAAATTGCATTTTGATTTATGTGTAATCGAGTGGAGGACAACTTTTGACCCTTTAGTGGTTCTCAATCTGTGGGTCCCCAGATGTTTTGGCTTTCAACTCCCAAAAATCCTAACAGCTGGTAAACTGGTTGGGATTTCTGGGAGTTGTAGGCCAAAACACCTGGAGACCCACGGGTTGAGAGCCATTGCTTTAGATCAGTGGTTCTCAACCTGTGGGTCCCCAGATGTTTTGGCCTTCAACTCCCAGAAATCTTAACAGTTGATTAATTGGCAGGGATTTCTGTGAGTTGTAGGATGAAACACCTGGGGTCCCACAGGTTGAGAATCACTGCTTTAGATGTTAGTGAAATGTAGCTCACATTACTGCTGGCTGTGCTGGCTTGGTGACAGAGGTTTAAATCTAACAAACAACATCATAAGGGACTACAACCTAGCTACGATTCAATTGTGCATATCTTCAGATTGAATATTAAAATTATGTGAGCAGGGTCACTTTCCAGATCAAACTTTTACACTGAACATGAAGCAAGATGGAAGGTCCCATTCACGGATGCACACCTAATAATTTTACTGTGTTCTATGTGCAGGGAGTTTTCAGAACTATACCATGCATGTGTATATATCAAAAGGTAGAGCTCATTGGCTCAATGCTGCTTTAATGACACATATTCATGGCGACACTATAAAACACTTTCAAAGAATTGCAGGACATTAATTTCTTCTGAACATTTCACATTTATGGTGTGTTTTACTTTATGGTATATATATATTACATGAAAAAGCACTCACCTGTTGCTTGAATTTGACTTTTTGCAGGAGGAGTCACTACATTTGTGGCCCTCTATGATTATGAATCACGGACAGAATCGGATCTTTCTTTTAAGAAAGGGGAACGTCTCCAAATCCTCAACAATACGTAAGTATCATTTACTTAGGTGTCAACTAAGACACCCATTTAATTCTGTAGTAAACCTGTGCCTTCACAGCTGTTGTGTGCCTTCAGGATGCTTCTAATTTATGACAATTCTAAGGTAGTCCCATCACGGGGTGATCTTGGCGAGATTTGTGCAGAGGGAGTTTGCCGTTGCCTTCCTCTGGTGCTGAATGAACGTGGCTTGTCCAAAGTCAAACAGCAGGTTTTCTTGGCTGAGCACAGATTCAGACCGTGCTCTCCTGGAGTCCTGGTCCAGCTTTTAAACCACTGCACCATCCTAGCTTACTTTTACTATATTCCTTAGCTAACTGTGCCCATGCTGAGATGTAACATACACGTTTACACTTTTTTCTTCCTTTGGTTGAATTTGTTTCCAGCGCTTTCTTAGTAGAAAACAAACCAATTAGATGAGAGGATATATTTGGACACTTAAAAACTTGGACTTTAGAGGGCAGGGATGGAGATAGGAGTACAATATATTTTTTTACTGCTCTAATCTCCAGTGGACGATAAACCTCAAGTCCCAATCCATACCAGTCTAGATTATATTGATTTCTTCTTCTGATCTTCTAGGGAACTTCACCTCCTTTCCCATGTGCAGCGATAGACTATTAATCATATTGCCTTGTACATATTGGCTAGCAATCAATTCGTTCCTGTCCCTCTTGCTTTCAGAGCTACCCATAAAAAATTATAAGGCCTTGTATCAAGGGAATATGTTCCTTCCAGCCTCTCTGTGTTAGAACCAAATAACATTTTAAAGGGAATTATATAGTGTCCCACTCCATTTCCTCCCTAATTTAACAAGATGTGTGATATAACATTACTGCATATAATCTTTTTTTTCTGTACTTGTTCTCACTGGCTGATTTATTTCTGAGGGGGGAATGTAGGAAGGAAATAATGTTTTGTCTGACAGCATCATACGTCTTATTTAAGTTAAGATTCTCAGGGAGATGAGGAAAAGAGGAAATAAGATGGCAGATTTATGTCCTGCATAATATGTACACTTCCGGCAAATAGGACTGAGCATCAAGGTATTTGCCAGTTGCTTCAAGAAAAAAAAGGTCATGCTTTCTTTTTCAGACCGTGTTTTCTACATCAGGAAGAGGATTTCTCAACTGTTTTTCCAGTAATAGGAAGAAATTAAAATTTGGATACCTAGTGAATTGGAACATAAAAGAATTAATATTAGTACATAGACTTAGCTAAGGCGATGCTGTAGCTTCAAACGTGAAGGTCTCCCCTAATTTTTACATAAATCTCATATGATGTGCTCTTTTTGGATGAGAGTATCCATACTGTTGTATGACTGGAGAAGGAGGAGCATAGCTATGGGATGATTTCTGATGTGTATCCCACATTTGTATGTATGCATACATACCATATAAGCAACTGGATGCTGCAAAATGTAACTGTTCAGCCATCCAACTTCATCTCCTGGAATACTCTGCAAAAGGATGACCCATGTCATGGAGATATTTTTGTCCATGAGCCCAGAAAGGAAGCTTTCCTTAAAAGCTTTTCATTGAACAGTAGAGGTGCCCTCCTGGAGGTGAGTGTGGTCTTACAAAGAAAATGGGGAATCACCCTTTTTCCATCTTAGATTTTAGGAAACCTGTATTGTTCTACATCATAGGATAATTGTGGAGGCAAACAGGATAAAGACTGTAGAACACTTAACACATTAAAAGCACATTGTAAACAATTAATGATGTTATTGCCATATGACTGAGCAGATGGAAGTGGACCCTTCATGGCAGATGTTGCACCCTCCCCCTGCTTCCTTCCAGCACGCATGTTTTCCACTCATTGCTCTGCTATCTAAACACTGGATCTAGCTATAGGCTGTCTAGCTTCTCTGTAGCCTGCTACAGTCCTTTCTTCTTCTCTTGGCTAATAGTTACCCAATGACAATGAGAGACCTTTCTGAAAGGTTATGTGTTAGTTAACTATTAATCCACCCACTCAAGTTTGATGGCTGCTACATAGCGTCTGCCTTTCTTCCCTTAGTGGGCAAGGATGCAATTTTAGTCAAGGCTTGCTTCACCCAGTTCAGCACATCCGCAACTATCAGAGGCATGTGGCAGGTGCATCAGTGAGCCACATTTGAGCATGTCTTAGGGCTACATGTCTCAGGTTCTGATGTTTCTTACGCATTTGCCTTTCTAGATTGGGAAAGGGGGAGGGTAGGAACACAAAGGCCATGAATTTAGCACTGCAGACTTCAGGATTGCAACTGAACCAAGGAGAGAGCAATATAAAGCATGTGGCTTGTGGAAGGGAGTAGTTTGATCAGGAAAGATAAATCCATCCCATCTCAATCCTAGGGTAACATTTCTCAAATATTTTTGTTCTATATACCAGGAAAATAACAACAACCTTATTTTTATGCCCTGCCACCATCTCCCCAAGGGGACTCAGGGCAGCTTATGAGGAACAAGACCACAAGTACAGATTAAAAGCACACAATAAAAGAAATCAACAACAAACATCAAAAAACATTACAATCATGGTGCACATTTCAAAAACTGTTCCTTGGCTGAAAGATTAGTGCAGCGGGATCAGGGAATATGCAATAATTACTAGATAGAGCCAAGGGGAAGTGCAAGATTTGCTTCAAATTCAGTTCAAGTCAGAGCCAGAACTTGGGGAGGGGGGGTAACGTCCATTGGCATTTACAGAACAGGATTACAGGTGGGAGGGCCAAAGCGCTATGGTGAGATCGAGCTAATTTCCTGGAGAAATGCTTAATCAAATGCATAACGGAACATCCAGAAAATGGATAGGGTAGGTGCATTCTGATTTCCTTAGGTAGAGGTAGAGAGTGGGGCTGCCACCAAGAAAGCCCTCTCCCTCATTCCCACCAGCTGCATTTGAGTCGGCAGTGGAAGTGAGAGCAGAGCCTCCCCAGATGATCTTAAAGTATGTACTGGTTCATAGGGAAAAGCCTTTGCAAAAGGATCATGAGACATTCTAAGTTTCAGCATCTATTCACTCAGGCTAATTTTCAAATCTTACAAATGTTTTCTGTGATGAGTCAACAAGCATTTAAAAAAACCCAAAAGTCCCTAAGAATGTCATTTTAAAATACAGTCATGCCGCTATTAGCCTTTTTATGCAGCTTTTCCATTTTCAGCAGCCCTTCAAAACTGCACTTCTTTTAATCTAAGCTTTCTTTCTCTTTCTCTTTCTTATATCCTGAACCTCATGCTTTCATTTAGGAGAAAGGTGGATGTCAGGTGTGTATCTTTTATTTGATTGATATTGACATAAACAGAAAAAGCTAACTTGATCTTTGATGTATTTTCTGTGCAGAAAGGGACTGGGTTTGGGGCTGGAAAGCAGAATAAGGTTATACAAACAACTTGAGTTGTTTATACATCTGCAGAATCAGTGATTTCACTGGCTTTTAACATTCTTATCTTTTGCATCCAAGGAAATTGCATATTCTCAAAGTGTTGCTTCAAATAATCAAGGTTCAGATCAAGCAACAGTTTTATCTAGGTTCATGACAGGACTCTGAAAATCTGATTGATTTATGGTCACAACATTGTAGAGTCACTTTTTAAATTTGAAGTAGAGGGAAATGCTACTCGTGTCATGAATATATTATAACCATGAAAGCATCCTTAATTTAAATGCATAACATTATATTGTTGCATAATTTTTATCTCATATTAATTACTTATTATCTGATACTGTTGTCCTGTACATCCCTGGCTAGCTGTTTAAATGTACAACAATGGGATATGAACGGCCTTGTTTAGAACTATTTGCCATGAAGATGATGAAATACATGTACCTTTTTCATTCCATTTCCCAACAAACACCTGTTCTGTCACTTCCTCTTGATATTATTTTCACTGATGCAACTGAATTCTCATGTTAGGGCTAAACAAATACTATTTCATGTATGACCATGTGGAGACAAACACCAGAAATCTATCTATTGGAGTTCTAATGCATGGACTCTAAACAATTTTTTTTGCTAAGAACCTTGAATTGTTCCAACTGGAGTATATGTGTTATCAATATGCCTTGCAAAAATTGGACATTTCTGACTCCCATTGTTTTTTCGCTGCAGTGCTTTGTAAGTTCCAAGACCAGTAATTTTGCTGACGTTCGTAAAAGTATACAGTGTCAAGGAAAGGTTCATTGTTGTGGTTCCCCATGTATTATTAATCTTTTGGAATGCTTATAAGCTATCCCTTATTTACTCAAATCGCTTGAATTTCAATATGGGGTAGATTAATTCTGCAAAGGAAATTGTGTTCTGCATTTCTCTTACTTCTTTAAGTTACTGTCTTGAGGACTTCATTCAATACAAAGCTTTTTTCAGTGCTGCAAATTTCAGACCTAAAATGAGTGAAATAAGATAAAAAATAGAAAGTGCATTTGAACATGTGTAGTGTAGCTGCATTGTAACTGTTGTTGATTTATACTAATGTATAAGTTGACCTTACATATATGTTGAAGGCAGGGTTTGAGACCAAAATTATGGATTTTGATCTGACCTGTGGATGAGTTGAGTGTAAAACTTGGGGCTCATCATGGGGTCCCCTTAGATCTGCAGAGAGGTTCTCCCACAATAGATTAAGCTCTTGTCTTTCGCTACCTGGAGAAGGTGGTTCCTTTTTTTTGGTAAGTTTAAGGTATAGTACTCACATTAACCTATGGCCAAAGCCATTTCCCTGGCTTCTTTTTAAATATCAGAACAAACATGTAAATGCATATTCCACTGAAAGCTCAGTTTGCCAACAGCGTCTTTGTACAAATTAGTAAACATGTTACCATTTTCATTGAATTGATACAATATTGTGAATATCTGTGATTTCACTGTTCTCTCTTGGATAAATAACATTGAGAACAAAATGAATGTCAAAATGAGGTGTTTATATATTTAAGGTCATTATATTAAAGCATGAAGGAGCCAAATGAGTTTCAATCTATGCATCCCACAGTATCCAATATTAGTTCTCTGTTGGAGTTTGGAGCAAAAAAATAGACTCTCACAGTGATAACCCTGGCAGTAGTAAATGGTGGTTTTTCAAATGGCCGAAATTCTTGGCCTTTTGCCTACCAACACATTGCGAAGGAAGGATGTTTTTGTCAGGTTGTGCTGATCCAGCGGTAGCATTTGATCATTATAGCTGTCCTTGATTCAGGGATATGCAAAGGAGAGGAAGCCATTTCAGACCATGTTTAATGTAGATGGCTGTCTCATTTGAAATGCAGATGAGAACTGAGAATCACACCTCCCTCTTTTTCTATTATTCTTTGTGAAATCACACTTATGGGGTGGGTGCAGGGCTTTTATAAAGGAAAAACGTTGCATGTCACAGTGGTGTGTGATCCTAATTAGCACATGCCACTACAGCACACTGGTGCATTTCCATGCCCATGTATACATTTTTGAGTTGCATGTGATATTTAGGAGCCTGCATAGGATGGGAGAAAAACTTCAGAAGTGGGAATATGACGGCACTAATTAAGAAGCTTCCTGCAAGACTAAAACCACTAACAATACTTTGATTGAAGTAATTTATAATACAAGAGAGAGTGTGAAATTCCAGTTTCAGAAAGACATTGTAATGGACTTCAGATAATACCATATGTCTATGCTGCTTTCAGCCTCAAAGGTTTCATGGGTCTAAACAACATCACAGTGAAGAATGATATATTTCGCTTACTGTAGTAAATTATTGATATTGTTTTTTGGATTTATTGCTCTTATTCATAGCAGACTTTCCCATATCTCATAATTTGGGGAGGGGGAATAGGCTATATGGGCTCACAGGAGAGGACCTTCTCCACTGTGATAACCTGGTTGTTCATTCCCATTGGAGAACCAATTAGCACTGACGTTGGCTTCATTTCAGCATTCAGTTAAAATTAGACTTTTTCTTAGAATTTTTAGTGCTTAGTGGGCATAGTTGGACTTAGGTTATGGGGTTGTGATTCAGGATGCATTTATGCTGTAGAATTAATGTAGCGCTATGCAACTCAGTGGCTCAATGCTATGGAATCCTGGGGTTTGTAGCCTGATGAGGCACCAGGACTCTGGCAGAGATGGCTAAAGACCTTGAAAAACTACAGCTCCCATGATTCCATAGCACTGAGTATGGCAATTAAAGTAATGTCAAACTGTATTAATTATACAGTGTAGGTGTTTCCTCAGTGTATATGGATATAATTAAACAATTTGTGTTTTAATTAATTTAAATATATTTTTATTTAAATTGCTTTACATTTTTCTATGGATTTTTTTTAACATTTTCTTTTTTTATTGTGCTCTGTTCAGAGATTGCTTGCTATATGACTTTGGATCTTGTGTGGTTTGAATAATTGATTTTAATGTATTGATAGGCTATGATTTTTTAATTATTTTTACTTATTTTAATGTATGTGTATATTGTATTTGTATGTTTATGTTTGTATGGCCTTGAATTATTGCCAATTTGGAAGCCACTCTGAGTCCCCTTTGGGGTGAGAGAGAGCGGGGTAAAAATACAGCAAATAAATAAATATGGCAAGTTATAAATAATTTAAACGTGAAAAATAAAACAAATGAACAATAAGAACTTTGTATGGATTCAGAATGATTTTCCTATCTCTTGGAAACACTGGCACACATTCTGTGAACAGCATCAGTGGAATATGTGTCTGTTTTGACAGGGATGAGATAGATTTGCTCAGTCGGGGTCCAGATTTGTAGAGGATCTTGGACTACTTTTAAACTGACATATTTTATATTGATTTAGATTAAATCCTTATTTTATATTGATTTAATTTGTTTATATCTAACATTTCTCCTGGAAGGAACTCATGAAATCTTTGCACAACATGTGCTTTTGAGTTGCACAAATGTTCTGTACAAATACGCACCTTTTCCTGTAAGCACAAATTTTGTTTGATTGTACATTTTTGAAAGCCTTTGGGTTTATGATTGTGCAAAGCAGTTTCTTAAAAACCGAAATAAATGTTGGCACCAGGAGCAGTTGGCAGCTCCTAGTTCTGTGTACCTCATCCTTGCAAATTAATTCTCCTTGTCCTGACATAAGAGTAATGCCTCCTAATTGGTGTGGCTCTCAAATTTTAAAAAAAGAGATTAATTGGGTTTCCGAACTTATCTCATTAAACACTGTGGCTCTGCAGGATTACATTTTAATAATTGCAACCAGACAAATTGGAGGAGGAGTATTCCCTTCCTAGTGGCTATGCCTTTGTCTGTCTTGAGATCTATATTTAGGGAATGGAAGATTTTAGGCACTGTCCTTACCTCAGTAATGGAATTGAACTCTCTTGAGCAATAAGGATCATAGACTGAAATCTTGTTGGAAAGCCCTTCTGGCTCAGTAACATATGATTAATTACTGCTTGCCATTGTGCAAACAGTGATGGCCACTGGGAAAAATGTGATTTATGCTGATGCAGTATGGTCCTGGAGGTCTTGGTGCATGAACGGCAAAAATGTCAGAGTGATTGCACTGTGCAGTCTGTTGCATGAACAATTTGACAAAATAGGATCCTGGCAGTGGTTTGATTCTTAATCTTGACAAGTTGTTATCCATTCATCCATGGGCAACACGCATCCCCCCAGGACTATATTTGTGGCCTCCAGGGCTCAGGTTTGGAAAAACAAACACTCTTTTTTTGGGGGGGGGGTCACTTTTTCCTCTGTTGGTAGTTTTCTCCGGTGTCCCTCCAGGTCATGACTTCAACTCACATTCTGTTGTTTAAAAAGACGATCAGAAGCCTAAAAGGGCCTGGGGCTGCTGTGAAAGCACAACAGTAGTGCTTCCTACTTCCCCAGAAAGCATTTTGAAGGTATTTTGAGGGCAATTTCTTATTTGAGGGTGGGGTAATGGGTTGGCCTTCCAGGCTTTTCTAAAGTAAAAGAAGTTGAGCTTTTCACTTTGTGCATTTGTTTTGAGATTCCCCTAGTCCAGTGGTGTCTAACCTTTGGCTTTCCATGTGATTAGGACTCCAACTCCCGGAAGCCCTGGCCAGGTTGTCCAATGGTCAGGAATCCTGGGAGCTGAAGTTCAAAACATCTGGTGGATCAAAAATTGGACACCACTGTCCTAGTCCATGTGGCTTGGAAAACCTGGTTGATGATTTGTGATTCTCAGCTGAGTGTGCTTTTTTTAGTAAAGGTTGTTGGAGCTTGCAAGAAATCAGTTAGTGTGTGTGTGTGTGAAATGTAAAATAAGATTGGTCGGGTTACGCCCAGGGAGCA